ATGACACATTTTCCTCAGTTCTGTAGGAGGCTGCAACATGTTTGTGATCTAAATTAAAGGTGAAATGAAAGTTGGCGTAGTGTATTATTAAAATAAATACTAGTCATGCTCTTATATATAATACCACCTCTTCCTCTTAAGTTGTCTGAGATGACGCTAGAACCTTTGAAAACAGTTTCCAGGGGTATTGCTTAGTTCAAAGATAAACCAGGTGTTAAGCATATACATGTGGTAGGACCAGTTATATAGCACAATTTTTTCTTTTCTGGCAACTAAGATGTTGATTCCTGGCCAACATTTATGATTCTAGACCACCAAGCAGTGACTTTGAAAAAGCCTGTGGACAGAATCTATGCCCAATCTTCAAATGTGTAGAGACTTAACACTATTGCAGCAAATGCCCTTAGCAGCAAGTAACTAGTCAAATGCTGGCTGGAATTTATTATTGGCAGGCAAAATACTGCATAAAACTAAAAATGTTTCTGGAAAATTATCCAAATTACTGTTTTAGACACTACAGCCTCCAAAAATTGTAATGTTACATAATTTACAGAACTTATCATTTGTCAGACTCATTTTCGTATTGAAGTAAAATTATTTTGCACAATGAATTTTCACCAAAAATAAAATGGAAAGCACATGAGAACATTGAAAAGATTTTCTTTGACTCTGCTACAATTTACCAATGAGAGAAATTACACCAGTATGACGAGAAGAATTGAGGATAGGATGTCAACAGCCAAATAACTAACCATTTTGTAATTGCTTGAGCAAAAATCAATGTTATTGGTGGGTTGATTTTTAAATTTATAATCTTCATGTTTGAAAGTGGTTCCATAGTCTGTGGATCTGAAACAAATGTAAGATTACAAAAATAAAGGTGAATCAAAATGCTCATTTAAAGGACGTTAGGATGAGTATTGTGTGAGCCATATCTTGAATGGATACTGGAAGTCCAACTGGCCTTAGCATACATACATATTAAACTAGACCCAGAAGGCTGAGTAATGCTATCCACTGGATAAATCTCTAAATAGTGGATAACACAGTACATTTTGTGCACACTTATCTTCTGGATAGCAATTTATCAATTGCATGGCATTGGTAGAAAATCTCTTATGCTTTCAAATTTCAAGCAACAACTTTTCTCTTTCTCTCCCCCTGTGTATTCGCGTACGGCACACATGATTTCACAAATTAGCCAATCATGTCAAAGAGCTCTTCCCTTGACATTGGAAACTGACGCAGACATTTTTTGAGTACTTTTTAGTTTTTTTCCTGGGAGATTTAGTTCATTGTTTTTGAGACTTTGTTCATGTAAATTTGTTACTCCTTTGTTTGGAATTTTGTTAGAAGTTTTTGAGTTTTTATTTTAGGCAAATGTTTTGGCTCGTTGATTAAGTTTAATAAATATTTCCTACGGAGTTTGCACTCTCGCCTCTTTTTTTTACAGTGTTATCTGCCCTTTATACAACCAGACCCAGGAGTAATTAATCCAGTTTTAATACAATCTGGACCATTAATTCTCCATGTGCATATTGATGGAATTCAAGAGTATTGTAATATTTTTAAATAAGCTGACCTACTACAATATTTAAGAAATAACAGATATATACTGCTTGCTCTTGTTAATTAACTTCAAGAAAGTTAAATGTAACTGTAAATTTTTTTTTAATCCACTCACATTCATTTCATGTGACAAAATGATAGACAATTTGACCTTGACTTCACACCTATTGGGTATATCTATCATGTCCAATTTTAAAAACATTTAAGTCAGCAACTTAAAGAGAGCTGGCTGAGTTTTTGCTTTTCTTTTTAATCCACTCACATTTATAGCATGTGACCAAATGATTGCCTTTTTTAACCTGGACTAATAATAATAATGATGATGATGATATTAAAGTATGTATTTTAAGAACTACTCCATCACTCAAAGTGATTTTTAAGGGCAGAAGAAAAAGAAGACTAAATATCTACAAAAAGTACAAATTATTATTTAAATAAAACTAGACCTATGACTATTTTAAAAAAAGTTTCTTTAAAAGTCTTTAAGAGACAGGGTACTTAAGTTCCTACAGGTTGTATAACTAAGACAAATTGCCTAAAAACATAGTTAAGTTCTACAATAAATTCTTAATGAATACCCATGTGTGTAGAAGTCACCAATTTTTATTTCAACCCACCATATCATTATGAGAACACATTGATGACAAAACAAATGAGCCAGATATCAAAAATATCATGACTGCATTCAAATGACACACAATCAACAGGTGAACTAACCTCCAAAAAAAACCATCCTCACAGATAAAATTTCCACTTTCAGTTTGATTCACTTTTCCACAGGTGTATATGTAAATAACCTACAAAAAAATTCATAGCATTGTCACAAGGAGTCTACATTCAGATTTTCTTAACAATAATTTTTTCATGAGGATTTTCTTCTTTATCTTTACACACCCAAAAAAAAAATAAAAAGAAAAGAAAATTTAAAGGAGAAAGCTCAAGAGAACACAGGAAAACCCCAAAAAAACTTTTGATGCAGCAGAGCCTTGCTGGCTAACTAAAATGGCACTGATAAAAAAGAAAGGAACTACACTAGGATAGAAATCCTTGAATGAGGTGTGGCCTACAGCAGGAGAAAAATGAGGGATCCCCAGTGAAAGCCTTTTCTACCGTGAAGTATGCAGGAAGTAGACAGATAAAAATACCTTTGGGTTGTTAAAAATTGACAAAACTTTCCTTTTTCTTCCTCAAGAATAACAACTAATATTAACCCATACTCTACTGTAACAACAAATAGAATACTTTCACATGCTTCTTTTTTCCATCGACAGTGATGCTTAAATCACCCTCCCAAAACCTAGTCATTCCCCCTCAAACCTCTCACCACCAGCTATCAGTGTTAAGAGCTATGATCATGTTGGCAAAGTTCTTTGGACATAGGTGCACTTATAAGGTGCAAATGTGTTTAAATGTGTGTACTAAAAATGTGTTTAAAATGTGTTTACTAAATACGAAATGACAAAACACACGAAATGTGTTTACTAAATAGTGTTCAATGACTACAATTACACTCAGAGGAAACTTTGAATAACATATCAATAATGCTTGATTATTTTCTTATGCAAATATTTGCATCTTTCTTCTTGGTAGTCAAAGCATCAAGTTGGGAGATGCTGCATGAACTTGTAAAAACAATAGGCAGCAAGCCCCTTTTTCTGGCAATTGAACTTTTATTTATAGCCACCAGCTCATAATTTCAGGTCAACATGTGCTGCTTTTGAAAAAAAAAAAAAAAAAAAAAAAAAAAAAAAAAAAAAAAAAAAGGGAAACTGAAATTAGATCTCTAACTAATTCTTCCTATTCTTGATACATGACAACTGTGATCAACACTTTGACATCTGAAATGGTTTGCTCCTTAAGAAAAAACAAATAAAAAAGTACTTTGGAAGAAGGATTAGAAGTGGAATATTATAAGGTGGCTGAGAGAGGCTCTATGTCAACGTTAAGCTACTGTGTTTATCACGATATATATTTTTTAATTTTAAATTTAAATTTTTTTTTTTCTAAAATGCATATTTATTTCCGCAGTTTGTTAAACTACTTTCAGTCGTTTAATGTCATTAGTGGCATTCAAAGTGTATTCGAAATCGATTTTGGATTATTGGAATAAAGTTTCATGTAAGCTTGAGCTCTATCAGCTTGGAGTTTATATCAGAACAGAAGAGTATGACTAAGCAAAATTAAAATTCACTATGCGCGCCATAGCATGTTGCATTGTAGCACGCTATAAAACTCACCGAACTGTCTTTTCCCGACCAGTGTAAGAAAGCCACAGTATGATTGTCTCCGTCGAGTTCAAACTCCTCTGTTATCCTCGTGTTATTGTGAACACGGACAGAACCCCCGGTACTTCGCCGAAATCTGTATCTTAACTCATTCAACTCTTTGATTTCTCTTTCAAATTGAAAGTTGTTCCCTCGATGGAATCGGAAACCGCCATTGTGGTTCACTCTTGTCAGCGGAATTAGTTTCACTGCACTTTGACTGTCGTCTAGACGAAATGCAATGGAATTTGTGGTTGCGAAAATAGTAAAAGTAAGAAAAGATCGCCACAAGATGTCCCAAGTTTGACATTTACGCTCCATGTTGGTGCGAAATATTGGAGCTGTTTTGCTGCATTACAACCACGCCGCAATACCTACCGTCAGCGGCTTTAGGGGTCGTGTAATTAATCAAGTTAGATTTAATACACCCCCCAACTCTAGATTCTTCCTTTTACTCTGCTTCTAGTGCATGGTTGATCTTCAAAAATGAAGCTGAACAGCAAAGTGACATCCTCGAGGAGAAAAAACCGTAAGGCCCACTTTTCTGCGCCTTCCAGTGTACGAAGAAAACTTATGAGTGCACCTCTGTCCAAGGAGCTTCGCCAAAAATACAATGTCCGCTCAATGCCGATCCGAAAAGACGACGAGGTTCAGGTCACACGTGGCCATTTTAAGAGCCAACAAGTTGGAAAAGTGATCCAAGTCTACCGCAAGAAATGGATCATTCACATTGAAAGAATCCAAAGAGAAAAAGCTAACGGAGCCACTGTCAGCGTGGGCATTCACCCAAGCAAAGTAGAGATTATCAAGTTGAAGCTTGACAAAGATCGCAAGAAGATCTTGGAGAGAAAGAACAGATCAAAGTTGGCCGAGAAAGGAAAGCACACAGAGGAAGAGGTGCAAGCCATGTCAACAGAATAAGTAAGTAAAATTTTTTGGGATCAATTTTATTCTGACAAGGTCACCAGGAGAGATAAGTATGGTAAGCTAATTACAAGAAAGTTCATTAGAAGTTCACTACCTTACATGTTTGGGTTTTACAGACGATTCACTTTGGGTCAGTCTAGTTCGCAGATTTTTTCTTTCGAGGACGGCATAATATCCGATCTGTCTCCTTTCATGTTAATATTGAGTTATGTATTCTTCAGACGAAACCCAACACCCAAGGACTTTTTTCTCAATTTGACATGCATATAACAAATGTCAGTAATATTGCAACTATGGTAATTAGAATTGCCATGTACATTGAGCAGGGTTTATTTTAGAAATTGGCCAACGAGGACTCAGTGGGTCCTCTTCTTCAATTTTAGGGAGCATTATTTCATGAAAGGGGTGCCCAGGAGAATGAGTACCCCAAAAGGTGTTACAGCACACTTGTCTAGTATAGTCTGAAAGAAAATGGGGAAGAGATAGACAATAGAGACAGTAACAGACAGTATAGTGGCTCTTGTATTAATCTTGTTGTAAATTGTCTTGTGGAATATGTTTAGATGAACCAAAAGTAAGTTTATTAATTCCTTTCACTAAATGAACAGGCATAAACCTTTGTAACACTAGACAGGCAGGGAAATTTGTTAGGGAGGGTAGTTACAGAGTGATGGTTTTTCACTGAGCATATTGAGACATACTGATATTTTTTTTGGATGTGGTGTAGGTTGAAATGAATGTCATGCTGAAATGGTTTGAAGCTTCTTTGATTTGGATTTCCCTTTGCTCTAGTAAAGAAAAACACAAATCAAACTAGTTTGAATTCATTTTAACTTGAAATAGTTTTGAACTACAACATACTTGGGTATGTTATCCAAGGATTCCAATCTAAAGAATTGCTAAAATATAAGCTGCCATTCTAAATTCCAGGATCAAGTGTTGGAACTAAACTGTCCCCTCACATTTAAGCTGTCCTGTTCAAACAAATGTGATTAAATATTGTCATTGTAAATGTAACAGAGGCTGAAAACTATATCAATGTTTTATGTTAGATGTGTTTGACTTCTACTCAGTTGATTGTTTTTCTCTTATTCTTCCCTTTTTTAGATGGATTGCTGAAGAAATGCTACCAATCAGTTCATTTTACATCTCAAACGAAACTCAATAAAAATCTTTTGAGACTAAAGGAAGTGTGTTGTTTTTAGAATTTCTGGGTTTCTTCATTTTCTCTTTTAAGTACAATTCACCATGTTTTGGTATATCAGTACATCTCACAGAAAATGAGGTACATGTGGGATGGATTTGGGTGTACACATACTGGTCATAAAACTTGAAATCTATCATGGTCACCAGGGTACTATTTGCATATCTCTTGTATAGTAATAGTAATAGAGAACCATTCACATACTTGTTTCTCAAACTTTATTAATTCACCATATGGAAATTAGAGATTGATAGATCTTTCAAACTTGTTTAATAGCTGGATTAACATGCTTAGACTGTACATGAGTAAAATCAATGATAAAATTCCTTTTTTTCAATTTGTGGATGGTACTGTATAATGACAGTGTTGATTAATAGATGTGTTAAAAGGAATTACCTTGGGGTACCAGAGCAGGGGTTGTAATGGCATTTTACCAGTGTCTGTCAATGGTGGAGTAGGCAGATGCCTTGTAGACGACAGTAGATCGCAAGGAACTGGCTTAGCTTGGAACCCCTTCCAGAGGAGTTTTTCCTAGCAGGAACCATAATGAAAGCTAATAGGCAAAGTTGTTCGTGAGAGTTGCTACTGTCATGATTAATCTTGGTTTCTTGCAAAGAGACATAAACAACTTCAAGGACTCGAGGCACAGATTAAAAAACAATAAATATACACATCCATCCCTCACTTTCACAGTTTGCTGATGTTTAAGCTAAAAACCTGCACAATTTTCTGTGGAATGTACAGTTACATATGGTACTTGTGTAGAGACATTCAAATAGAGGTCACTACTGTGTTAGCATATTGTGTATTCCCTCAAGTGCTTTATCAAACTTATCAGCAGGAAGCACTAGCACAGTTCGGTAAGGTTTTAATTCACAATCACTTGAAGCCCATCTTCCAGCTACAAGAGTTTCATCAACATCTGCACTGGCTGCATAACTGAAGGACAATTGACTTTCCTGCAAGGAAAACCAAATTCACAAGGGAAACTGTTGTCAAACATGCTGCACCAAGAAAAACTACAGATTGATGCACATTATATGATAGACTATATGCCCTCTACAACAAAGCGTCTTGCTCCTGACTGACCAATGACTAAATTCATAACTGGGCTGAGGAATGAAACACAATTTCCACAGGGTAAATAATGATCAATTTAAAGAGCAGAAACAGGCAATTTGGAATTGTGGAAAAATGTCTTAGGTGATATGCAACAAGAAACAAACAAGGTAGCATTTGAAATCAACTTTTTAAAATTGAGAGTGGGATAAAAAAAGTTGCAAACTGACTTGTGCATTCTGTGATTCATGGTTGCTGTTCATGGTAAGAAAGTGGTTTTAATTTCTTTTAGCTACAGCTTGCATGATGTGAAAATTTCCAAAACATTCTTACACATAAAATCCCAATTACACCAGCATTCATGTAACCTCCAATAAATGCATGGGAATTTATTTTCAATGTGCTCCTAGAGAGAGGGGAATACTGGAGTGTTAAAAATACTACGCTCTATCAATCTAATCTAAGGGAATAAATTGAAGATTCCATTTTTACCCTTTGGAACACTTCATCCTCCACATTAATAAAACTCAGTGAACTCCCTGACTCTTGTGTCTTGACCTTCTTAGACTTTTTATGCATTTTGGTCTCAGTGTCTTTGTAAGTCTTGCAAATCATTACAAAGTAGGAAATTGGAGCATCGTCACCCTACCAAGAGTAATTTCTCAAATAAAAGTTCAAATTGACACACATCATTTTTGTCAAAATTGTACAAGCAGAAGAATATTGTAACATAACAGAGGCATTATCTCTCTGTCTAAGGGAAAAAATGCAGCGAAAATTTGCCAGAGAATTCTTCGTAGTGGCCTGAGAATTCTCCAATATGCTGCACTCTAACATCTGTATACATGCATATTCTCCATACTGTTCTCTATACACCTCCTAAGATATGCCAGATATGGCACTTTATTTTTGATAAGCTTCCAAGCATTTGGGTAACTGGATTGCTCAGTGTTTAAAGAGAATACATTCTCTATCAAAATTAAAATCAGTGGGTGAATAGGGATAAAATTGTTGAGGTTTATAAAAATCAAGCTTAGATTTCCTTCCATAATTAAAAAATGCCTGTAGCAGTCGAAGCAGAGCACTAGAGGGTACTTGGTCTTTGCAGATAGGTGTAATCACTGGCAAAAGGTAACTTTCAAATGTATCAGACCTAGTTGGTAATAAATGGCATACCTTTTTATGGACCTTTTTCAGTTCAGATCTAACAAATGAAAAAC